TTGGCCATTATGAAGAAAGCTGATGTCCCTAATTGCATGCTTGTTTTTGTTTGGCTGTAAAATTTCAAAGCAGTCATTTAAATACCTGGAAGTGCAATTTTGGGGTCATATAGTGAGACTTGGGGTTTTTTGAGAAAAGAAAAAAACTTTGTGTCTTCCAGAATGGCTGTTACCATTATGCTTTCCACCAGGAATGAGTGAGAGTTCCTATTGATCCACATCCTTCCCAGCAATCGTTTTTAAATTTTAGCCATTCTAGTAAAAGTGCAGGGCTGTCTCATTGTTGTTTGTTTTTTTTTTTAATTTACTTTTTTCCTCGTGGTAAGTAATGATGAGCATCTCTCGTAGTCTTATTTCCATCTGTATATCTTCTTTGGTGAGCTGTCCAGATCTTCACTCATTTTTAAATTGGGTTATTTTTTAATTTTCTATTTGGGCTTTAGAATTTATTTATATATTTTGGATACAGTCCTTTTTGATAAATGAGGGTATTTCAAAAAGTTCATGGAAAGATTCATATTATATTTTAATTCTATTTTCCATGAACTTTTTGTAATACCGTTGTACATGTTTCCCAGATATTTTTTCCCCAGTCTTTGGCTCATCTTTTCATTCTTTTAAACAGGACCTTTTGCAGAGTAGACATTTTCATTTTCAATAAAGTCCATTTTATAAATTTTTTTTCTTTTTTCACTGGCTTTTGCTGTTGCATATAAAAACACCAAAAAAAAAAAAAAAAAAAAAATCACCAAACCCAAGATCACATAGATCTTCTGTATTTTTCTAGTTTTTTTTATATGTTTGCATTTTAAATTTGTCTTTAAACAATTTTGAATGCATTTTTGTGTAAACTATAAAGTTTGTGTCTTTTTTCCCCCATATGGTCATCCAATTCTATCATCTGTGGAAAAGACTCTTCTTTCTCTATTGTATTGCCTTTTTTCCTTTGAAAAAAGTCAGTTGACTATATTTGCAGGGGTGTACTTTGGGCTCTCTCTTTTGTTCTCTTTGTCTGTGTGTCTATTCCTTTGCCGATATCGCACTCTATTCATTGCTGTAGATTTGTAAGTCTTGGCATACAGATGTGAGCTCTTCAACTTTATCTTTCAGTCTCATGTCATCTATTCTAGGATTAGAAACACTTTGTTCATATCTTTGCTTGGATTTTGACTGAAATTGCACTAAATCTATAGAGCAAACTGAGATTTTGTCTTAACGATACTGAGTCTACCAAT